TCAAGGGCACATGCCCAGGTTGCAGGCTCCATCCCCAGTGAGGGGTGTGCAGGAGGCAGCCGATCCATGATTCTCTCTCATCATGGATGTTTCTATCTCTCTCGCCCTCTCCAAAATCAATAAAGATATATTTAAAAACAAACAAAAACCATTTCACCTAGTGGTTTTGGCGTCTGCTATGCACTGAATCGTGTTGCCCCCAAAATTTATGTTGGAGCCCTAACTCCCAAGATGACTGTATTTGAGATAGGGCCCGTCTGGAAATAATTAAGGTTCAATAAGGTCATGCAGGTGGGGCTCTGATCTAATCAGACAGGTGTCCTTATGAGAAGAGATAGCAGAGCATTGGTTCTCTGCCATCCAGAAGGTGTCTTCTCCAAGCCAGGCAGAGAAACCAGCGCGGCCAGAACTTGACCTGGGACTTCTAGCTTCCAGAACTTATTCCCGTGAGTAATAAATGTTTGTTGTTTGACCCACCCAATATGGTACATTGATGATTTTTGCCTTAATCAATGATCTAACTGGGGCTGCAAAATGGAGTTTTTCTAGTTCTCACATTCCTTCTAGTGGGTTAGCTGGCATTTTTCTACAAGAAAACCAAACCAAAACCAAACAAAACAAAAAACCACCAAAAACTTTCCCTCATCAATTAGAAATGAACCTAACTACAGTTCCTCTCAAAAAGGCAGGATAAATGCTTCATTCTCTAACGGAAGGTTTTTGTTTTTTCTCTTTAAATTAAAATATCTAGAACCTGTTTGTATGCCGAGGGACTAATTCTATGGAAAGGATGATGCAGGAGAGGGGTTACAGAAGGTGTGAAGTCCACAAAAGGTGAGAGGATTTGGAGTGTAAGTGGGGGAGGAGGAGAAGAGGTGGGAATTTAGGGAACAGAAGGAAGGGTGTGAGCTGGTCATCTGGGCAGACACAGAGGGCCAGCTTACAAAAAACTGCCCTGAAAAAACACACAAAACCTGGCCAGTTGTGGGCTCGATCCCCAAGGGGGGTGGGGAGGGGGAGGGCTTGTACGATTGATGATGATCCTCTCTCATCGATGTTTCTATCTCTCTATGCCTTTCTTCTCTCTCTAAAAATCAACGAAAACATTTAAAAAGAAAGAAAGAAACTGCCCTGGAGGATTGTTGAGCCTGGCTAGTGTGCTTTTTAAAATCCTCACCAGAGGGAGAGAGAGAGAGAAGCACTGATCTGTTGCCTCCCTTAAGCACCCCCACTGAGGATCACACCTGAAGCCTAGGTATGTGGCCTGACTGGGAATTGAACAGCAGCCTTTGGTGTACAGGACGACACTTCAACCAGTGGAGCCACACGGACCAGGGCATGGCAGGTGTCCTTCTGAGGCGGGGAGCTGTGACCGTGTCTGCATGCAGGCAGTTTTCTCCTCCACACCCAGAGAAGGTGGCTGGTTGGATTGCTGCCGGCCTGGGCTTTCCAGGTGAGTGCGCCACAGCAGAGGGAGGCAAGCAGTGCAGGGTCCTGTCGAAGGAGGACTATAAGGAGTGAGAACAGAAATTAGGCTGGTTAAAAACAGAAGTGAGCCCTAGCCAGTTTGGCTTAGTGGATAAAGTGTCAGCCGGCAGACTGAAGGGTCCGGGGTTTGATTCTGGTCAAGGGCATGTACCTTGGTTGAAGACTGGATTCCCAGCTCTCGTTGGGGCACATGCGGGAGGCAGCTAAATCAATGTGTCTCTCTCACATCAATGTTTCTTTCTCTCTGTCTCTCCCTTCCATTCTCTATTTAAAAAATTCAAAAAAAAATATATATATATGGCTAATATGCTAAGTGTCTGACCATTCGACCATTTGACGGTAGCTATGACACACAAAGACCACCAGGGGGCAAATGCTCCACAAACAGGCATGGAAACATGGAACAGACTGATGAATCTCAGAGGGAAGAGAGGATGGGGGAGAGCAGAAAGAGATTAACCAAAGATATTCCTTTAAAAAATATATATATTTTTATTGATTTCAGAGAGAGGGAGAGGGAGAGAGAGATTGAAACATCAATGATGAGAGTGAATCATTGATTGGCTGCCTCCTGCACGCCCCCTACTGGGGATTGAGCCCACAACCTGGACATGTGCCCTTGATCAGAATCGAACCCAGGACCCTTCAGTCCGCAGGCTGAGGCTCTAGCCATTGAGCCAAACTGGATAGGGCAACCAAAGATCTTATATGCATACTAGGGGTCCCTTGGCCTGGCCTGCACCCTCTCGCAATCCAGGACCCCTCGGGGGATGTTGGACTGCTGGTTTTGGCCCGATCCTTGCAGGCCAGGCTGAGGGAACCCACCAGTGCACGAATCTGTGCACCAGGCCTCTAGTGTTTATATATATTAAAAAAAAAAGAAGTGAGAGCAGGAGAGTAATGGCTAGATGGGAAATGGGATGGGAGGTCTCAGCCAGCTTGCTGAGCTTTGAATTTCTGGTTTTGGTATCAGTTTTCAAAATTGATTTAAACAAGCATGTAAGCATGGAGGTTGAAAGGGTAGTGGAGGTCCGTCCGGTGGCCTCCTTGCCCTGTGCCCACCATCACCTGTACCTTATAGAGAGTGAGTGCCACATCGAGGACAAGGACTGGACCCCATTCCTATCTGAGCCCCCAGTACCCAACTGGCACAGAGGAGTGACAGCGAAGGCTTGAGGTTTCGCTGAATGAATGAAGGATAGCAAACACTTATATGGCACTTACTAGGTGCCAAGCACTAGTCTAACAGCTCGTTGATTTCTCCCAAGATTCCTGTGAAGTGGGGTCAACTATTATCCCTATTTTAACAGACAAGGAAACTGAGACACAGAAAGGTAAAATAATTAGTTCAGGGTCGTGGAGCTAGAAAGAGGCCGAGTCCATGTTCCTAACCACCAGGTTATTCTAAATGGATAAATAAGAGTCAGAAGCTCTGTCCGAAGTGATGCCAGGTTTCTCGAGGTCAGAGCCCTGGTCTGGTGGAGAGAGACAGAGACAATAAACAATGAACTGAAGAATACACAATTCTAGGTTATGACAGCTGCCATGAAGGAGACACACTGAGGGCCAAGAACAAGAATGGGCAGACTTCCTTCGTTGGGGTGGTCAGGGAAGGCTTCTCTGAGGAGGTGGCACTTCAGGTAAAGGCTAGGAAGGAGCCAGTACTGTGAGGAGCAAGGAAGAGTATCTTAGGATGAGGGAACAGAAGGCCCTGAGGCAAACATTCAAGGTATTCTGGGAGCTGGAAAGGATTCCAATGGCTGAAAAGGAAGATGGCCCAGTGGCACTGGGGAGGTGGGCAGGCACACAGACCTGAGAGGCCATGGCCAGGAGTTTGGATTTTATTATTCTTTTTTATTATTTTATTTTATTTTTATTATGCAAGCAAAGTGGGAGGTAAGCCACTAGAGAGTTTTAAGCAATTTGGTTCAAATTTATTTATTTATTTTAGAGAGAGAGAAACATCGATTTTTTGTTGTTCCGCCTATTGATGCACTTATGACCCAGGATTGAATACCTAACCTTGGCTCATCGGGACGATGCTGCAACTAACTGTGCTACCCGGCCAGGGCAATTTGGTCCAATTTGTACTTTTAGAAAAATGTAGGTTTTAATTTATTTTCTCAGAGAGAGAGGAAGGGAGAGGGATAGAGACATAGAAACATCAAGGCTTCAGCTGCCTCCTGCATGCCCCCTACTGGGGATCAAGCTGGAAATTGGAGCCCGTGCCCTGACAGGGAATGAACCAGGGACCTCTCGGTTCCTAGGTCAATGCGCATCCGCTGAGTCACCCTGGCTTGGCCCAGTTTATATTGATATATTTTTAATTTTTAAAATTGATTTCATAGAAGAAGGAAGAGGGAGAGAGAGACAGAGACATCAATGATGAGAAAGAAGCATGGATTGGCTGCCTCCTGCACGCCCCACATTGGGGATCGAGCCTGCAACCCGGGCATGTGCCCTGACTGGGAATTGAACCATGACGTCCTGGTTCATAGGTTGACGTTCAACCACTGAGCCGCGCCAGCCGGGCCCAGTTTGTATTTTTAAAGCAGAAGCAGTTTTGTTCCTCTGTCCATTTGCTTATTTAGTCATTGATTCTTGAGTTTCTTCATTCATTCTTTGATTCTTTCTTATTGATTTTAGAATGGGAGGAGAGAGAGAAAATATCAACGTGTTGTTCCACTTGTTTATGCATTCATCGGTTGCTTCTTGTATGTGCCCTGACCAGAGATCAACCCCAAAACCTTGGCATCTTGGGACGATGCTCTAACCAAGTTACCCGGCCAGGGCCAGTTCCTTCTTTAATTCTTACCTTCGAGTATTTATTTTTTCATCGGGCTTGCATTTGTGCACCTGAGAATTCCTTGGTTCCTGGACAATTCATGCATTTCCATGCCCGAAGAGCCTGAGCCAGACCCTGCCTGGGCACTGGGGGCATTGACAAGAGCCAGGCCCAGTCCTTGCCCTTGAGGAAAACATATTGTACACCCCACATTCTAAGAACCAGTTGTCACCCTAAGACGGTGCTGAGTTTCTGGGGATGGGGTGGCAGCCGAGGAAGGAGGGCGGCAAGGCTTGGAGACCAGATCTGCATGGTGCCTGTGACAGCAGCCAGAGGTCAACTGGCGGTGAGAATTTGGGTCAGGCCTGTCCCGGGCTGGTCCTCAGTTTTCCCGGCTGCAAGAGGTATTGGTGGAGGGTGGGGGGGGGGGGGTGCTTCAGTGACAGAGGGGAGCCCCTCTTAACCTCAAACGCAGCGATTCTAAAAGAGCAGGTGCTTCTGGAGGGAGGAACCTGCCCCTTTGGAGGGAGCCGTTGGGAAGGCTGCGCTGGAAGTTGGGGTCTGCGGAGAGGAGCTGGGGTGCGGGGACGGGGCTGGGCCGACCCTCGGTGGCCAGGGGAGGCGGGGAAGTGGGGGCGGGCGGGCCTGGGATTTGAGGGCCCCTCCCCGCGGCGGGCAGCTGGCTTGGTGCTGGGGCGGGACTGTGAGCTCTCCCCGCCACCGCCGTCTCGCCGCTGCGGCTGCAATAAGAGAAGTCCGAGGCGGCTTCCTCCTCTCTGCCCTGAGGGGGCGGCGGTCAGAGGCCACAGCCCCTCCGTTACCCCCCACCCCTTAGACACTCAGGCTGCCGGGAGCCCCGCGCACTCACCTGGGGTCCGTCGGAAGCGGCCTCAGCTGGAACCAGGTAGGCGGCGGTCAGGTGGGGCTGGAGGGCTGCGTGCCCCGCCCCCGCCCTCGGGTGGCCCAGGAGGAAGGGGGGGAGGGGAGGGAGAGGGGGAGAGGGAGGGGTGAGCCTGAATTTAGGGAGGGCAGCTGAGGGAACTGAGAGCCAGGAGTGGAGGGCCAGGGGGCCGCACCCCGAAAAGGACCTCAGGAGGAAAACCAGAGTAAGACTGATGGAATGGGGAGGGGCCGAGGGGATCTGGGGAAGCAGCGCCCCTAAAAGGTCTGGTGGGAGAACGGAAGGAACCTGTGGAGGGAGACTGACAGGCTTTGGGAACAGGGCTGAAGGGGGCGAGGGACCGGCGGACCTCCGACAGAGGCGGAGAGAAACCGAGGGGACCTGGACGTGAGAGTTTGGGGAGAAGCTGCGGAGCCTGAGCGAGGGGACCCGGCGGGTCTGGGAGGAGCAGGTGGGGGAGTCTGCGGGAAGGTGGTAGGACAGCCACCTCTGGAGGACGCGGAATGTGGGGTGCAATCGGAGGGCCATTAAGCCCCCCCATCTGGCCTTGGCAGAAGTGGGGCGAAGCCCGCAGCCAAGAGGGAGCGGAGGCGCTCGCGAACCAGCCCCGGGACCCTCCGCCCCCCACCGGTGGGCGGGCCTCGGAATGTCAGGGGACTCCTTCTGGGCGCTGGAGGTGCGGGCCCGCTTCCTGGGGAAGTCCCCGCCCTCGGCAGGGATGGGCCTCTCTGGGTGCCCCCTCCCTGCCCGGAGCGGCGGTCTCGGTCCACGTTCTGCTCGGGATCCGGGAATTGCTGGCCGCCCCGACGGAAATCCTGCCTTTGACCGCGATCGCTGGGAGGGGCTGTCTCCATGGCAACGAGAGGGTGGAGACGCTCAGCCCCGCGCTTGGCTGCTGTAGCGCGGTGCCCTCGCAGCCCACTCTGCTCCCCGCTTCGCTCCCATTTTTTTTCTTTCATTGATTTGAAAGAGAGAAAAAGGAGACGGAGACATAGGAGCGTAGGGGGTGTGGGGGTGGGGGTGGGGGTGGGGAGAGAGAGAGAGAGAAAGAAGCAATATCTATCGGTTGCCTCGGGTACCCGCCCGGGGGACTGAAACCGCAACCCGGTATGTGCCCTGACCGGAATCGAACCGCCACCTTTTGATATACGGGAGGAGTTCCAACCAACTGAGCCACAGCAACCAGGGCTTTGCCCCTGTTTTGGGTCCTCGTCCGGGAGGACCTGGGAGGATCTGGGAGGGCTGCGGACAGAGGAGTGAGATGACGGTGATCAGTGTTCAGGGATCGCGGGGTGGGTGGTCTGCAGTTTCTGGGACGTGACCAGACTGGGCCCTTGATTGCTGTGTGACTTCACGCTGGTTATGAGGCTTCTCTGGGCCTCATTTTCCTCCTGTGACTGATGCAGGACATCACCTCTGGCCCTCCCAGCCCCCACCTCCCTCCCATCCCCGGTCAGGAGCATCGAGTGCAGAAAGCAGTGTTTGCTAAGTATCCTGGAGGGGTTCAGAGTGATTTGTCACGGACCCGGGAGCCTCCCTTCACCTTCTCAAAAGCATGTAGGGGGACCCGAAAGCCTGACAGGGCCTCCAGGGACCAGCACATGGCTGACATCTAACAAATACATGAATGTTTGAGATCTGGCCTCCTTCCATCTGTGGTTGTGCTGGGAGAGCGAGGCCCTGTTCCCACTTCACAGACGAGAGGACGGTGGTTGGGGGGTCAGTGACTGACAGGGCCAGCACGAGGGACCCAGAGTCCAGGGAGTCTTGTCCCTGATGTGGTGGTGGAAGCAGCCAGAGCTGAGGCCTGAGTTCCCCCCTCTCCCGACCAAATCCCGATTTCTATCCCTATTTTCTAGGCAAAGAAACTGCGGCTGGGGAAGGTGAACCGACTTGCCCCTCTGGAATGTGTGCAGGGGGAGGGGAGGGGGGAAGAAGGCTTGGGCTCCATGGACTTTGTGGCTGGCTCCTGATCCCCGGGGGGCATGAGGGGGGCGTGAGGGGGGGCATGAGGTGTGAGAGTGTGTGTAAGGTTTGGGCTTTGAGTGGATGGGCATCAGCATGTAAGCATCTGTGTGGGTATGTCTCTGCAGCCACCTGGGGCTGATGTGGAAAAGGAAGTGGCCAGACCTTGAGAGGCTGGGTCGGGGGGCTCCACAGCCAGGGAAGGGGGGCCAGGGCCTTTCCTGTCTGGCCACACTGTGGAACATAGACTCATTCCTTCCGCTTCCTCCGAGCCACCCAAGAAACTGGAGTCCCTAAAGACCACTGCTTTAGAGGCTGATGGGTGTGTTTTCAGCAACAGATGAAAAACCACTTTTACCCACAAGAAGTGGAAAAAATTCAGCTGACACCCTCAGGACCATATGGAGGGTAAAGCGAGTGTAGCAAAGATAGGTTCCCCTCCCCCTCCCCTGCCCCATCCTTCCAACTGTGCTCCCCACACCAGGGTAGTAGCCTCAGATTGCGGTATGTCTTCTCCGCCCCTGGCTGTTCACGGGTGGAGAATGTAAGGGCCTCAAAAGAAGCTGGAGTGAGATGGTTGGAGGTTCAAGGAGAGGTGAAGGCCTCAGTGAAGGAGATCAGGGCTCAGTAAGGGCACTGGAGCAGGAGGGGTGGAGGGTATCAGCGAGGGATGAAAGTCAGGGAGGGGTCAGGTCTAGGTGACTGGTGACGAATGGGGTGCCGTGGGGCTGAGAGCCCAGAGCCCTGAGCCCTGAGGAGAAGCCGGAACTCTTGCAGGATGGTGGTTTCCTGCTGCTGCCCAAAGGCCCAGTTCCCTTTTGGTGAAATCCCCCAGGCAGCTGTGCCAGCTCAGGCCTCCCCCTCCCCCTGGGAACCTCTCTTTCTCCTCAGCTCTGCTACTCCTCCTCCCTCAACCCTGGAGGTGCTTGCAGGGGCTTGACCTCACTTGATGTTCTGAAGCAACCTCATGAGGTAGCGATTTCTATTCCTATTTTCTAGGCAAAGAAACTGCAGCTCAGGAAGGTGAACTGACTGACTTGCCCAATGTCTCAAGCTAGCTGCCGTGCCGGGTAGAATTTGCCCCTAAACTTGTCTTCAGATCCTGCAGATACTTGGCAGGGGTTGGGGGGGGGGGGACAGGACATCCTGGCTCTATATCACAGCCCTGTCCTGGCTTTGGGAAGCGTGGCCCTCAAGAGAGGATGTGTAGGCCTCGGCTCCCATGTCCAGGAGTAAGGGCGGGAGGGAGGCAGGCCGGGCTGGGTGGCCAGCTGCCACATGCTATGGCAGGGGTGGTATGTTCAGTTGGCCAGGGGCTGGGAAGGCATGATGACGTTCTCCTGCTCAGCCTTTGGAGAACACAGCCACGGTGCCAGGAACAGAACCCTGGACCTGAATTTATAGCCCTGGCTTTGAATCCCCTGTCTGGCTGTTTGACCTCGAGCAAGTCACTTCCCCCTACACACAAGGTGGGGTGGGGGGAGGTGGCCTGAGGAACGGTCCCTGGGGGCCCTCAGCTTGGAAGCCTGTGGTTCTCAGCCTCCCTTAGCCACTGCACACTGGGCAGCAGGCACATTTCTTCCAGCCTCCCAACAACCGCACAGACGGTCCAGGTGCGGACACGGAGGTTCCGAGGGCTCATGTCACTCATTCGAGGTTCTGCAGTTGGGTAGGGCCACACAGAGGAAATGCTGAAGGTCAGACCTCAGCTCTGACATCCACAACCTGAGTTTGGCCCAGATGAGCCTCTGGTAACTGACTCCTGTCAGCCAGATGTTCAAGAGGCATATTTACGAACAGAATCAAGTCCCTATCTGCAAAACAGGGGTGATAATATAAAAGCCACTTCCTAGGGTCACTAAGTGAGGTCATGCGTGGGAATTGCTTGGATCAACACCAGGCACGGAATAGGTGTTCAGTAAAATCGCATTTTTAAACCGATAGTGGTTGCCTCCCAGACTTCTAGGGAGCCGGATTGCTTTCCAAAGATCCCTTTCCCTTTTCTGTCTCTGCCTCCCTACTTTTCATTTCTGTCTCTGTTTCTCTTTGTTTCTTCTGGCATGAAGTGCTGGAGCTGGCTAGTGCTGGCTCTGGGGAGCTGAATCTGCCAATCTCTTTCCAGCCCAGCGTTCAGGAAGTCACTTCAGTAACCTGCAATCAGCCATGGTGGGAATATTGACACCGTGGAAATCAGCAAAGGCGACAAATCAGGGCCTCTTGTTTTCCCTTTAAGAGTCGGTAGACCAGCACATCACACTGGGATTCTCTTTGTCTCTCTGTGTTTATGTCTTCCTGTGTCTCTCAATCTCTGTCTTTTCTTTTTTTTGTTTCTCCCCATCTCTTTCTTCTGAGACAGCCACATGAGTGTGGTCACATGCAGCGTGGCCCTTTCACTGCCTGGGGCCATGCAGATGCCACATGCTGTGCCCCACACCCTCACCCCACACCCTCCAACCCCCTCAACACACTGGTGCCCAGAGGGTCAGGCTTAGCCCCGGGCCCTGGTCCCCTTCAGGTCTAGAGTGCAAAGCCCTGAGAGCTGACCCTGCTGCCTGTTGCCCGTGGTGTCGGAGCCGCGCGGCTCTTCCTCAGCCCACCGAGCCCTCTGCCTCCTCCTCAGTGGCTGACAGTGTCTGATCCCTACCCCATTCCAGACATGCAGGATTTGGGGCTCCCCTTCGGCTGATTTAAAATCATTGTGGTAACTATGTGGCAACATGGTAACTATGTGGGGACCCCAGAGGCTGTATAAGTTTGTGTCTTTTATATATTTTTGGAAGGAAGGGGGAAGGGTAGAAAAGAGAAAGGAGGGGGGAGGGGGGGAAGGAGAGGGGGGGGAGAGAGAGAGAGAAACATCAATG